AGAAAAAATTCGGTAAAAATCTGAATTCGATAATTTAAAAACTGAGTTGTGTTTACCTATATCGGTAATTAGCGTTGCGAAATTCGAGTTGCGAAAACAAAATTTGCGTTGCGAATTTAAAAACTGAGTTGCGAATAGTCGTGTTTACCTATATCGGTAATTAGCGTTGCGAAATTCGAGTTGCGAAAATGAAATTCGCGTTGCGATTTTGGAGAATCGCGTTGCGAATAGTTGTGTTTACCTATATCTGTAATTAGCGTTGTGAAATTTGCGTTGCGAAAACGAAATTCGCATTGCGATTTTGGAAACTGTGTTGCGAAACTAAAGTTCGCGTTGCAAATTTGTTGGTTATTTTCGCAAATCCAAAAAAAATTGGTTAAAATCGTATATTATAAGGTATTTTCGGTCACTGAAATTATTTTCTCATAATTTTATCCATACTATTTAACTGAATTAATTTTATTCTTATATTTATTTAGGTGTATGATTTTTTTCCTTTTTTATTGGTATTAATTGTTACAATACTGATGTAATAATTAATTATGTTGACGTGATAGTTAATTGTATCGATTTTATGATCCATAATGTTAATAATTCATGTATAAATATGCCATGACAAATAGATTAAATTAATTTTTAATCAAATTTAAGGATATACTTAATTTTAATTAAAAGTTTGATAACTTATTAAAAATTAAATAAAATTTTAAAAAATATTAAAATACATATAATGATAAATTAGTAAAAAGCTAAAATTTAAAAATATTAAGAAAATATTAAGAAAACTGAATACTACTGTCACAAGTATTTGGTGGACTCTGTTCAATCTGAATGTACTACTATTCCTTGGACATATTTTTAGTGGAATCAATTATGTCCACAAATTCAAAAAAAATCAATTAAATCTCACACCATGTAAACATTATGGATCGTTATGTCCACATAGCTAACTTCTATATTAGTATCATAATGATCAATATCAATTAAAGTATAAAATTAATGTAATTAAATAGATTTAAGAATAAATTTAGTACTATTAAAAAATTAGTATAAAATTAATAATTTAAATTTACTAAAAATAATAAACCTTACTTTAATATTGTAAAGATACATGCATGAACCAAATTAACTCAGTAGTTAAAAGAATTATTGTTATTCCTAGAGGTCACGGGTTAAAGCACAAAAAATATTTACGATATACAAGGACAGAAGTAAAAATTTATTATACCCGGGGTCAAAATATTTTTTTATTTTCCATAAATACAATTTTTTAAGTGAGAGGGCATAGTAAATTTTTCTTTGTTTATTTTTTAATATATATATATATATGCCCATGATATTCTTTCCCGAAGATAATTATTTTAGCTTAATAAAAATATTATCGTAAAAACAACATAAAATCTATTAAAGCTAATGTTGTAAAGACGATTAATTTTCCGATATTGGATTCCTTATCCATTTCGTTAATTTATACCATTTTAAGGTGTAAAAATAAATATTACATAATTCAAATATTGAAAATAACTTAAAATATTATATATAAATTATTAATTTTTATTTATTGAAAATTTATTTTTTAAAAAGTAATTATTGTTTTTTAAACTTTACTAAAATAATGTAAAAAACATAAGATAAGACAAATTTATTAAAATAAAATCCAAAAACCATAAAACCAATATTTAAAATTAATAAAAAAACCAAAATTTAAAATTAATAGAAAAATAAAAAATAAAACTAATTTATCATAAATAGTTTAAAGGCAACCAATCATGTTGCTAATTTGTTGGCTATATATATATATATATATATATATGCAATTGAATTAATCTGATGGTATTCAGAATAGTTTGGAGTGATTATAAGATAATATACATTCATAATTTTTTTAACCATTGATAATACATACATACTATATAGATGTAGTTGCTCGAACCAAAGATTTCAAGGTATAATACAATTAGTTTTAGTCACTGAAGTCACTCAATAGATTAGTATCCAGAGGATAAAAATAAAAGTTTAAGGGTCAAATGAGATGAAATTGACTAAACTGAGAAAGTTCGAGGACAAAAATGTTATATTGCCTAAGAAAAAACAGACAGGTTTGCTCCATCAGCAACTATATCCGTTAGTGGATCACCAAGAACAAACTGAAGCATAATCTTCTTCTCTCCTCTCTTCTCCTTTCAATGGATTCCAACGTAATCTACTTATTTTCAAAACTCCAAAAAGAAACGCATTATCTGGGCTCCCGGAGGTTCTTCTTCTCTCATAAAGAAACGCAAAGGCTTGGGTAAGTTAACTGATTGAATTGGAGGTTTCTATTTGGTTTAACTTAAGTTTTTCCAAATTGGGTTGTCGTTTTGGTCGTTGGTTTTCATTATCTGGCTTTTATTTAGTGTTGGAATTATGGTAGTTATGGAAAGAACTATCTGAGAAGGCTCGAAAATTTTGAGCTGTGAATGCACACGTAAAAGTGAGAAAGTTGGTTTAAGCATTCAGAACAAGTTATTTCACGGTAATTATAATTGTTGTAGAACAAACTAGGGGGCACAGCTTATTTCATGGTAATTATAATGATTTTCTTTTCTATATTAGAAATTTTCCAAATTCTGACATTTGGGTTGCCTTTGGATTTGATCGAGTTATTGTCTGAATTGACTGACCTTTCTAATGTGATGTCCATGCGCAGGTATCTGGTCCTCCACAAAGAGAAGGAAATGTTGTGGTGATTCAGACTGCTGATAGCCAGAATTTGGAAATGAATGCTCTTCAAAGGGATACGTAAGCAAAATAAATTGGTGGTTTGTCAGAGAAAATGAGGGAAGTGAATGATGCTTCTGAAAGTAAAGAGGTGAATGGCGGTTCTCTGTTGGCTAAGGCATCAGAATCAAATGGTGCTGATTTCCTTGCATTTAGTGATAACGATTCTGATGATGTTCCTGAAGAATCTGGAACTACAGATCTACCTCTTCAACCTACTGGACCGCTTGAATCAGGAGCAAGACAGTCACTTGAGTGTGACATGGAAAGGTCTAAATTTCATTTGGAAGAAGTTGAATGAGTAAATAGATTTGAAGCTGATTTCCCTAGACTAGCCGTGGAACCGAAATATAGTACTTGGTTTAGCCATTTTGTTCGAGAAAACAGAGGGCCGTACGGAGGAAAATTCGGACCAACGTGATCGTTAATGATGTTTGTTTCTAGTATTGAGCTAATTTAAATGCGTAACATGTTGCTAATTAATGATAAGTAGGATTGATCCAATTTAAGCTTATCATTCACCAAAGCAAATATTAAGGCAAGAACGTAATCGTAGGACCTTACAAAATTTTCTTAGCAAGTTCGGAACTACAGTGGGTCCATCTGGTCCTGACAGTCTAAATTCATACAATATCCACCTATTTTGGGAACTTTTTACTTTAATTTAATAATGTAAGATTAAAAACTTTGGATGTTGTTTAAACAATCTAATATTTTATTTTATTAGATTAATTACTAGTTCATGATAATATATTTTTCTTAATATTTTGGGACTGTATTTTTATTATAAAGTCTACTTAAGTGTCATTAACTCTGTAAATAATTTGATGTGGCATATTTTTCTTAAAGCATATCATATACACCTTGCATTTCCCTTTTTCTACGTGAAACGGTTTTAATGAAATAAAAAAACTATATTAACGCTACTGAATTTTAGGTGGTGTATCATTTAGATCATCGTGCTTTTAATTTCTCCAATCATAGCATTAAATTTTGGTTTTAATCTCAATTATATCACTAGGACGTTAAAACCTAAACGGTGTGATGACATGAATAAAACGACATCATTTTGATGCGACTATTAATACCTAAAATGACGTTGTTTTAGACATTAAGTTTTAAGGTATATCAATTTACTACTAAACTTTTCAGCAATTTTATTTTGATGCTACACTTTTTCAATTGTTGTCGACAATCAATCAACACCTATCACTGATTATCTTTTACAAGAAGATTGATATAAAATTTCTCATTTCAGTTCTTTTTTCTTCTTTAAATTTAGTTGTTTTTTTTACGAAACTCATTCAAAATCATACGAAACCAAAATATGAGTTAAGATATAATATAAAGATTGTCACATTTTTACCACTATATTATTTTAATTTTTAAAGTAATGTAGAAAGTACTAGTCTGTTCTTTAGTTTAATTTCGCATACTAAAATTTTTAGTATGACTTTCTAAATTTATATTTTTTTGATATAAAATTTTACTCGAGTCCTTAAATATAAAATTATATTATAAAGATGGCGGTGTAAAACAGCAGTCTGCTGTACTGGATAGCGGCGTCCAATTGGATGACCGGATAAAAACAATTCAAAAGCACATGCATGAACTGACGACTCACCGACTTCAACCATCCGCCGTGTCTGGGTCACCAGTTTCATTATTACATGTTATTAAATAATTGGATAAACGTTTAAAAGTCACCAGTTTCATTATTACATGTTATTAAATAATTGGATAAACGTTTAAAAGATCATATCTGCATGCAAACATCCAAGAGGTATGGGCAGCAGTTGAAAATAGCAATAAATCAGAGGCCAAGTTGAAGGCAATTTTCAACTTTCCAAGCATTTAATTCAGTTACTGACATATATAGGAATCTGCAACAAACGCACCAGAAAAATTATTGCTTTTGGATGTGGAAACCAGTGGGCGACGTTCTTCCTTAAAATAGTGGTATTTTCTGGATTACTTTATATCCAGACTCCAAGTTGTAGTATTTCCATGCATGCAATATCATTGAGCATTTCGAATGGGAGGCATACTTTACGGTGACAAATCTGTAAAGGACTTGTGGGATTCTGTAGAATGAAATGATTGGTCTGATTTCAAGAACAGTTGGTCAGAACAACAGGTTTTTGTTGTCAGTGAAGAATAAAAGTTTCATTGCCTTACAAATTACTGTATGTTTACAAGCCAGGAAAATGATTTTCATTCTTTGATGGTGATGGAAGCATCTATGAACAATTTAATACTGTAGTTAGACTGATGAAGTACTCTTCGCTGCATGGAATTGTAAGGCCACCCATTGGATGGTGGAATCCGAATTCTTCCTCGGCTCGATTCAACAGGTCGTGAAACAAAGGGTGATTCAAGTACGACACCGGAATCACGAACCTTGTCGGACGGTTGCCTTCCCCGACATAAACTGCAATGTGGCCTTTAGGAACATTCAATGTTCCCAATGCTGCATTCCCATTTCTACCTGAAAGTGTTCGCTGGAGCTTTTGTTTTGCATGAGCTAATCCCATTAGTTGAATGCCCATTTTAGAGAAGAAAACAGATAGCAGAAAGAAGAAAGCTTTAGTTTTTTTAAGACTTGGTTTGAAAATGGCATCTTTGAGGCCAAATATATAGTGGGGATAAAGCAATTTGCAAACCTTAAAGAACCGGATATGACATTGAAGAATATTTAGAAACATACCAGGTGAATAGTTAAGTTTCACATGGTTCCGCTTTGTCTTGTGCTAACCATTATGCCCTACCATCTTAAACAAAGTGGCAGCTTGTGATATTTTTATGTGAATATAGCTTCCCTGGGTTTTGAACTTATAAAGCACTGAATTCAACAGACACTTGTCTTGATCTTAGACTATTGAAGATTCATTTTGGATTATTCACTAAACCACTGAACTTAGACCTTGTTCCTTAGCTGCTTTTCGTTGTACCAACTACCCAACATGCTTTTGAGGATTACTGCAGATCCTCAATATCACCTGTACTTGTCCGAAACAACATTTCGAGACCATTTAAGATCAGCTAACCTTTTGTAATAGTATTAGAAATCATCCTCATCCATTCATTTAAGACTGGTATCTTGGACTAACTTGGTCAAGTCACACTCAATTGTGCAGATGAATCCATTTGTCTAAGCTCTTAGTGACTATCCATAGTCAAACCACCACTCGCAACAGACGAGGACACTTTCAAAAACATACCGGGACTAGCTTCCCAGTTGATTTCATAAAGCTAGGTATAAGTTTGGGTTGCAGCACGTATTCTTTAGGACTATAGCATAACATGAGAAGATGATTTTACGGTTTCCGACATATCAAATCAGTGTGTGATGTGTTTTTGTTGACATGCCAACTGCGTAGATTTACATATTATTAGATCTTTGAACGTTCAATATATGGTCTATGTCAAATGATTAAGCTGTTAATGGTATATATCAAATGTATGCACCAAGGTGAAGTGTCAGCATCAATGTCATTACACTGCTATTGTTGGGAAATATCAGACTATTCCCAGCAACCGCATGTTTTTCGGAAAGTTCGTACCTCTGTTCTTTCTTTACAATTATGAACGAAGAGTGCGAGGAATAAAACCAATGTTTCCAGTTTCAGTATGTAACAACCAAGTAGTAAATCTTCAAAATGAAAAATAATTTGATCTGCATGTTGTACACAGTCAGAACAGTTTTCTTTCAGACTTTCACTCACTGGTATGTTGGACTTGGACATGCTTTATAATCATAAAGTCCATGATAACTCGATAAGAATTTCATCTGGACCACCATTTTTTTTCCTATTGATTGGTTGGCCATATGATAATTCATGATTGCAAAAGTTTATATTAGCATATCTGTGGAAATCTTACCTCCATAGGTAGTGGAAGGCATATCCATGTGAGTCATGATACATGTCGACCTTAAAGAAGCCCCTTTAAAGTGAGTCCTATCTTGACCACTTAATTCACTGTCATTTACTGGTCAAAGAAACTTTAGAGTATCGATACACCCTTTACAGCTAATTTTTTACCTGTTTTCCAAAACATTATACATACATATCAAGTTCCAATTAACTTTTAAAGAGTTGCAAGTCAATAAAGTCGACACTTGCCCTATTCCTAACTCTGTTAAAGCTAAGATGTTTTATGGGAATATTCTTATGTCCCCGGAGATCACTGATTTTAGGTAATTTAGTTCTCTGGAATCTGTTTCTGGTATATAGAGTTCCATCATCTTTCATTTTCTCTCATTTCCTCATCCATGGGTTGTATGTATCCAAGAAATCTATTGGTTAGTTAGGAAACTATGAATATGTCATGTACGCACGACACTTCAGCACAAGAAGGTGTTTGCACATTAGAATTACACTAGGGTTGACCTGTGCTTCGGTTAAAAGTTACTTATGGTAGTTGAAGAGCTGACGTTGCCAACCGTCTCCAACTGGATCAAATAATTTGAACTTTCTTTGTCTAATCATGGACTTCTAAGTTCTAACTTATACCATTTTGTGTACAACAGATTCATACAGTACGAACAGGTCTGGTCTTTGATCATTATTATCTCCAAACATGTAGGGCTTTGCATACCGACTCAGTCACTAGCAGATATGATTATTCTTGCATGATATTTCATCCATATAATCTGCCAGGTAAAGTCATAATCATCTGGCCATGGCTGAATGATAAACAGTATCTAAAATGGGCAATTATTGTTGGTTTCATTGAATGGTGAGCTATAATAAGATTGCAACAGAACAAAGGTACCTACTCTGTCAAAAGATTTTTATTATTTGTTGGTTCACAAGGCCATGTGAGTCCTCACAAGATATGTCTCTAAAGCATTCTCTCTTCACTCTACACCACTCAATTTGCTTGAGACTGCTTACCAATGACCATGAAGCATTTGCTCTCTATAAATACAAATTCCAAGGGATAATAGCTACCCACCCTGAGCCAATTGCCTAAGCCATTCCTTGCCAGTCCAGACAGTCATGGGTTTCCACTTGCAGAGAATTGCTAATGCTAAGAGGAGTCTAAAACGTACTCTTTCATCTTCGGAGACGACAATGGTGCCTAAAGGCCACTTTTCTGTTTATGTTGGGGAAGCTGAAAAGAAGAGATTTGTTGTCCCAATATCATTCCTGAAGCATCCTTCGTTCCAGAATTTGTTGAGTCAAGCCGAAGAAGAGTATGGATTTAGTCATCCTATGGGGGCTTTGACTATTCCCTGCAGCAAAGAAGCTTTCATCGAACTCGCCTGCAATCTACAAAGCTCTTAAGAAGAAATGACAGAAAATGTATGAAAGTGGCTAACCAAGCGGAGACTGATTCTTTTAGGAAAGCTATTGTGTATGGTGGATTGCTTTCTGCGATCCCATGCTCGCCCTTGTAAACTTAATTGTTTTCTCTAACAAATATATAAATGACTTGACTATTCCCTGCAGCAAAGAAGCTTTCACATCGAACTCGCCTGCAATCTACAAAGCTCTTAAGAAGAAATGACAGAAAATGTATGAAAGTGGCTAACCAAGCGGAGACTGATTCTTTTAGGAAAGCTATTGTGTATGGTGGATTGCTTTCTGCGATCCCATGCTCGCCCTTGTAAACTTAATTGTTTTCTCTAACAAATATATAAATGACTTTATTAAAAAGCAAATGTCGACTCGTTCTTTTCATGAATTTCGCTTCTCGTACTATTGAAGAACATATTCTTTTTCCTGGAACTTAGTTGTCACTATCAGCAGCATATTTTGCTCAGTAAAGCATCAAACAAAAATATGGACAAAAGGTGAATATTTTGATGCATACAATAAAGAAATCAATGAGAGGTTCGTTCAACTCACAACTACTTGAGGGTTGACCATTTTCTACACTAGAGAGTCCTTATCCTCATGAGAGTAGAAGGGTTACTTTCCAGGCTAAGTCTGACTTAAAAAAAAGTTTCAGGTCAACTAAAAGAAAATATTTCTTGGTCTGATTCTTGGATCTCTAAACTCTGAACTCAGTGATTCTAGAGGGGATTAGCATAGTACCATAAACTACAAGGTTGGTTCGTGGGTTAGTTTAATCAATCATGCTTTGAAAATCGAGGCTCAACTGTCCACGTTCTCTCGAAGTCTTCCCTCCCTGTTCAGTGCACTAAACAATGGCACATGCACAGGTCAACTTGTTTAATTTTGTGTTCAACATAGTTGCAGCCGTAGAAGAAATAAACAAGCAGCTGTGGTCTTCTAAATCCAAATTATCAACAAACATGTAGGGCTTTGGATACAGGTAGATAGTCATAGTAGGTGCTGGTCTCCACTTCAAAGCAGTTCATCCATACGAGATGCTACGTGCTAATCAAGCAAAGTCATAATGATATTAGGAAGTTCAAAATGGGCCACTACTGTTGGTTTCATCTAGTGGTGAGCTCTAAGGTACCAAACTTGTCAAAATGTTATTATTTGTTGGGATGCAAGGCCATGTGATTCCTCCCAATTCATGTCTCCAATGCATTCTCTATTCACCACCCAATTAGCCCGAGACAGCTCACCAGATACAGCATTCGCTCTTTATAAATACAGATTCTAATGGATAGATTCTAATGGATAGCTTCATCGAGTGCCAAGAATTGTTAATGCTAAGCCAAGTCTGAAACGGATTCTTTCATCTTCGGAGACAACGGTGATGCCGAAAGGCCACTTCGCTGTTTATGTTGGAGAAGCCGAAAAGAAGAGATATGTTGTCCCAATTTCATTATTGAAGCATCCTTCATTCCAGAATTTGTTGAGACAAGCCGAAGAAGAGTTCGGTTTCAATCACACTATGGGTGCTTTGACAATCCCTTGTAGCGAAGAAGCTTTCATTGATCTCACTTGCAACCTACAGCAAATCTCATGACAAGAAATGATGTGAAAATAGGCTAACCAAGCAGAGATTGTCTGAGATTTATCTCAACTGACATTCCCAAATTTTATTTTTAGGAAGCAAGTGTGTAAAGTGGATTGTTTTCTGCAATCCCATGCCCTTTTCAACTAAATTAAGTATTGTAACCAATATATAAATGCCAAATTTATTTCAGAGAAACCCTTTCTTTTCATGAATTTTGATTCTTACGTTGTGTGGATAATTTCAACCATAAAATATTTCCAAGGTCCGAGGGTTGCATATATTAACATGGTCTGAAGCAGTATGCAATTCTTTCAACTAGTTAAGGATTGTTTCTCATGGCAGTCGAAGAGTTGACTTCCCTGCTGCCGCCAGTGTTGGCTAAAACCCTCTCCCCGACTATAAGGTTTCATGACAACTAAAATGAAAATTTGTTTTTGTCTAAAACCATGGATTGTTTTGGATGATTAGCCTAATATTATTCATTACAAGATTGGCTAGTGCTTAACATATTCAGGCTTTCCTCACTTTGTTAAAAGCACAAACTAAACAATGTAACATGGATAGGCAACTAGTTTCATTCTCTGTTTAGCACAGTCATAGAATAATGTCACAGGCAGCTTATAAGTCTTCGATTCAACTTACCAGCAAACATGTAGGGCTTTGCATACCGAGTCATTTTGCTGTTCACCACTCAACTACATGGCATTTCATACGTACGATCTGCTGAGTTAATGGCATCTAATAAATAGTATTTCAAATTGGCCATTCTTGCTGGTTTCATTGAATGCTCGGGTATGGTAGATTTGCAACAGAAGAAGCTTAGGTACCAAATTTGTCAATATGTCATGGTTAATTGGGAGGCAAGACCATGTGATTCCTCAAACCATTCTCTACTGAAGATTTTTCCATTGAAATTTCTTTTCGACCACACACATTCAGCTCGACCAATGCCATAAACCATTTTCTAACCCTCTATAAATACTCATTCTAAGAACAGCCCCTCACTGCCAAAGCCTTCCCAACCAAGCCAGTTACAGTTCTTCTATCTTCTACACGTAAAAAAGAATATAAATTCATCACAAAACCATGGGTTTTCGTTTGCCAAAAATTGTTATCCCTAAGAGTCTAAAACGAAGTCTTCCGTGTTCAGAGACGATGGTGGTGCCCAAAGGCCACTTCGTTGTTTATGTCGGTGAAGCTGATGAAAAGAAGAGATTTGTTGCCCCTATATCATTTTTGAATCATCCCTCGTTCCAAAAGTTCTTGAGTGAAGCTGAAGAAGAATATGGATTTAATCATCCTTAACAATCCCCTGCAGTGAAGAAGCCTTCCTTGATCTCGTTTTCAGTTTCCAAAGCTCATGAAAGTTAGATTTGAAAATAGCTAACCAAGAAGACACCAATTCTCCTTAGCTCAACACACAATTACATTTTTGTTTTACATAGGAACCAAGTGTAAATGTGTAATTGGTGGATTGCTTAATGCAATCCCATGCACTTTATAAATGAAAAGAGAACAATTTCTTTTAATCAAACATATTCTTGTCATTGATATTTTTGTTTACACTAGTTTTATCAATCATCATGCTCTTGTCAATTAAATTAATTTTTGAGACCAACATTTAAATGAAATCATGCCTTTACTTTCACAGGCTTCCATTGTAATATGTTATTGACCTAGGCAGGAACATTCGATCTGAGAAAGTACTTTAGACAACTTCACGTATATAACATGCACTTGTCTTGTAATTTTCCTATAGATCTCTTTGTTGGCAGTATGGCACACATAAGGCCAATATGTGTATGTTTTAGAGGCCAAAACGGCTATTATACTTTCCTATAGACCTATTGTTGGAAGTACAGAACACATATTGCTCTTTACTTCACTCAAACAAGTGCTTTTTTGTGCCTTACACCTGTGGCAATATAAGGGTGCTGATGCCTAGAGCGATGCGATGTTGATAACACCGTTTAGGACTCGATAATGAATTCTAGACTCTATGGATGTTAATTGTACGATTGAAGAATTAAAAGGTATAGGGAACAGTTATAGCAAAGTAAAGGCCCAGCTTCACAGTAAAAGTATTATTGTTTCTGATTTCAATGGAGTGAAAACCTTATGAAAACCAAAGCAAATCTACATACATTCCTATAACTTAAGCTTCAAGTGGGGGAAATAAAGGACTTGATTCTCTTCATTGTAGCACAATATAGAGTCCACAAAAGTGAAGCCTCAAATCGTTATTCTAAAAGCGAAGAATCATTAATCACATCATTCACATGCTCCCATTAAAACAAGCAAACTCCATAATAACGACAAAGTTCAAGACAAACAAATCACCAATTCCATATATAAGATAATTTCTTGAACTTTCTTGAGTAGCTAATTGTTGATACTCGATTTGTCCGGGGCTAAGTCGGAGCAGACCCGAAGCAATGACAGGCCTATAGAAGAACCTAACCCGTTGAAGGCCCAGTTCAAGCCCAATGACCCAGTAGTGTTATCATCCAAGCCTCCAGTCCGTGATGTCCTGGAAAACTGAAAAAATGGTTATCGGGAGTTAAAAAAAACCGTAAATGGGGTGAGGGTCGATTTTTATTGATTAACTACCAGAGATTAAAAGTGATCAGGGCCAAAAAAAAAAGAGGGGAAAAAAAGAACCAGAGACGATTGAAAAGAAAAACCAATGAAAAACACAGAAAAAAGGAAAAAGGCAACTAAAGGGAGAAGACTAGGAGCAGATTGGCCATTTCACAGTGTAAAAGGGATACAAAAGAAACAATAGTGTAATCTCATAATTCAAGAATAGAGAAAACAATAGAGGTACATGTATTTTTTGAGAAATTCTCCCTCAATTCTTTATTTTTAAGTTCGTTTTCTTTGTGTGTGTTGTTAAAACTAAAATTTGAGAGGGATTGGGACTTACCTAGACTACCCAAACACGAGTGGAGTCTTGTTGACTCCATTTGTTCTCTGCGTTGGTTCCATTGTCAAGAAAAAAGTGAGATTTAGTTTAACAAGAGGATAGCGAGTGGTTGTCTACCTTTGAAAAGAATAACTATCGTCGTTAGGAGGGGTTCCCCAGACTTTTCGATCGTGCTGTTGAGGTTAGGTAGTCGTGGTAGGGATTCGATTTAGGTTCGGAAGTCTTATTTTTTTTTTTAGAGTCTAAGGCCGAGGAGGGAATGTAACAATGGGTTATCCATTTTTGAGTAAGCGAAGCAAATACAAAACAAATATTCAAAAAAGCATTTCATCATTTTAAAAATCATTGTCTTGTTTCATTGTAACAAAAGAGAAATTGAAAGTAAGAGGGATTTGATTCATTACCTGAGCAGTGGAGAGAGCGCCGTTCGTTAGGAGATAAGAATGGAGAGGAAGATGAGAGCCAGTCGTGTATTTTGGTAAATTAGTTTAGGTTTGATTTTATTTAGGTTATATATTAGAGTTTTTGGTTAAATTAGTATTTAGTCACTGAAACTTTCAGGTAAAATTATATTTTGATCCTTATAGGTTTAGCTCTTATTTTTTACTTTGGTCACTTATGAGACTGCTTTTGTAATTGGGTTTTTTGTCCTAATGTTGTTATTTTCCAGATTAGTTTCCCTGTTTTATTATTTCAGTATATTTATGCTCACGCTCCTCCTATTTAGTTATTTTTACGTTTTAATCCTTTGTTTGTTAATTGACAAATTATAACCTTGGTGCCTGAAATGTTTTTACTTTTGTATCAAGACTCAATACTTGTACAGTTTGTTATTTTAGCATCAGATTTACATTCCCATTTTAATTTGGTAATATGTCTTTAAGTTCTTTTAATTTTTTTTATCATTTTTACAATAATATGTTGTTTACGTCATTTATGTTTTAACCTTAAATTAGTTTTTTTTTTACATTTTAGTTCATGTTTAAGTTTTTATGCGTATGCATGTATAGTTAGTTAGGGTTGTTTTCGAATGTATGCTTCATATGTTTGAATGATGATGATATGTATGCATGTACACATAGGTGGTTTATTAATTATATAATTTATATATATATATATATATTAATTTGTATGATATCCTCATGTACATAACTCGACATATTACATAATTGGATTAAGGGTAATACACTTTTAATTTAAAATTGTTTTAAGTGGGTTGTCATAATGCATTTGAGGTCCGCTTTTAATGATTTTAAAATAAAAGTGTATACCATTAGTGACTCCTAAAAATCGATCCATCACTTTAAAATTTGGGAATTGAAGAAAAAGAAATGTTCGACTATTTAAATTTATCGAGAAAAGGTTGTTATAGTTTTTAAGATATGGTCTCGATATTTGTAAATAATCGAACATTCTTTATCTTTCTAAAACGACTTGGTAATTTTAATTTAATTTATTTGGGTGCTTTTGAATATTATTAAATTCACATCTTTGTTTTATGGGATCAAAAATAAAATTAAGTTCGAATTTGTAAAGTTCATTGCAAAGACGTTAATTAATCGATTAGGTACCGATTTAGGGAGTTGTGGAGGTGCTAATCCTTCCTCACTCGTAACCGACTCCCGAACTCGATTTTGGTAACGCATACTTTAACTTGTTGTTTTAATTAAAATTAATTTTTATTTAAAATAACAAAAATATTTTTGGGTGCTCAATTACACTCTAATCAAAGATTGATGGCGACTCTTCGAACCATATTTTTTTATTGTAAACGAAATCCCAAAATTTTCGAAACGAGAGGTTTTTTAAATTGCATTTGTTTTTTAAATTAGAAATCAATTGAAAGATTTAAATTAAAAATTAATGTGGTTTTCAAAATCTCACTTTCTCACTTTTAAAGAAAAAAATCGTTTCGACAGCTTGGCGACTCTGTTGGAGATTTTTTTTAGAGATTCTGGCCGATAGTCGATTAATTAATTGTCTTTGCAATTGAAAATTATAAAGTCGTTTTAATTTGGTTTTTGATCCCTTGTTTGGTTTCTAATAAGTTTTGTTTGTATTTTGATTTTTCTAATTTAATTCGATTAACTAATAAATAGTTGTACTGATATGTTTGCTAATGGTTTCAAATTAATTGTGTGAATTTAGGAAATTTTGAGTGTCTTTATTGTGTGTTTTTCGCTTTTCCTCACACACTGCACAACTGCATTTTCATGACATGAGCTAAAACTCCGCTCCGTCTTATTTAAGTAAGAGTGAGAGACTATGCCCTCGTGTGGTTTTCACCTCCGCATGGGATAGTGGATCGCTCCTGGAGCTCACACCTTATGGTCCTCGTGATGGTAATCACCTCCGTATGGATATAAAGAGGCGTGTTCCCTCGAAATTGAACTCAATCCCCTAAAGCCTGTGATGGGCCAGGATTAAGGGTTTGGCAGCCCAAGGGGCACCGACAAGGACAATTCGAGAACCTCTTACTTTAGAATCGAACCCAACATATAGTGAATATAGAGCTTGAACTTAGGTTGAGCCAAACCCGAACCTTAAGAATCCCATAAGGAGGGTACACAAGGAAAAGCTTTTTTAAGTCATTTATTTTCGTTTTCAAATAAATGCATGCGAACTAGATATCATGTAGTTAGGTTTATTTTTCGAACAAGCATGCAAATTAGATATCATGCAGTTAGAATTTTTTGTGAATAACAAAGCATGGGGGTAGATATCATGTTGGTTAGGATCTGATAAAGCATGATTGGGTAGCCAGCATGTGGGTAGGATTCTTTAACAAATTATTATCCCGACTTAATTGTTTTATGTTTACTAACCGATCTTTTGTTGTCTTTGTTTTATTTCTTTTTGTTTTGCATTACAATATCCATTACATGGTGTTGATTTGTGATCGATGTCCATATAGAAGAGTTGTTGTTTTTTTACATTTTAGTTCATGTTTAAGTTTTTATGCGTATGCATGTATAGTTAGTTAGGGTTATTTTCGAATGTATGCTTCATATGTTTGAATGATGATGATATGTATGCATGTACACATAGGTGGTTTATTAATTAGATAATTATATATATATATATATATATATATATATATTAATTTGTATGATATCCTCATGTGCATAACTCGACATATTACATAATTGGATTAAGAGTAATACACTTTTAATTTAAAATTATTTTAAGTGGGTTGTCATAACGCATTTGAGGTCCGCTTTTAATGATTTTAAAATAAAAGTGTATCCCATTAGTGACTCCTAAAAATCGATCCATCACTTTAAAATTTGGGAATTGAAGAAAAAGAAATGTTCGGCTATTTAAATTTATCGAGAAAAGGTTGTTATAACTTTTAAGATCTGGTCTCGATATTTGTACATAATCGAACGTTCTTTATTTTTCTAAAACGACTTGGTAATTGTAATTTAATTTATTTGTGTGCTTTTGAATATTATTAAATTTACATCTTTGTTTTATGGGATCAAAAATCAAATTAAGTTCGAATTTATAAAGTTCATTGCAAAGACGTTAATTAATCGATTAGGTACCGATTTAGGGCATTGTGGGGTGCTAATCCTTCCTCACTCGTAACCGACTCCCGAACTTGATTTTGGTAACGCATACTTTTACTTGTTGTTTTAATTAAAATTAATTTTTATTTAAAATAACAAAAATATTTTTGGGTGCCCAATCACACCCTAATCAAAGATTGGTGGCGACTTTTCGAACCATATTTTTTTATTGTAAACGAAATCCCAAAATTTTCGAAACGAGAGGTTTTTAAATTGCATTTGTTTTTTAAATTAGAAATCAATTGAAAGAGATAAATTAAAAATTAATGTGGTTTTCAAAATCTCACTTTCTCACTTTTAAAGAAAAAAATCGTTTCGACAGCTTGGCGACTCTGCTAGGGATTTTTTGGGAATTAGGAAATTTGAGTGTCTTTATTGTGTGTGTTTTTCCTTTTTCTCACACACTGTACAGCTGTATTTTCATGAATGAGCTAAAACCCCGCCGTCTATTTAAGTAGGAGTGAGAGACGCCCTCGTGTGGTTTTCACTCCGCATGGGATAGTGGATCGCTCATGGAGCTCACACCTTATGGTCCTCGTGATGGTAATCACCTCTGCATGGACATAAGGAGGTGTGTTCCCTCGAAATTGAACTCGATCCCCTAAAGCCTATGATGGACTAGGATTAAGGGTTCGACAGCCCAAGGGAGCACCGATAAGGATAATTCGAGACCTCTTACTTTAGAACTGAACCCAACATATAGTGAATATAGAGCTTGAACTTAGGTTGAGTTAAACCCAAACCTAACATATAGTGAATATAGAGCTTGAACTTAGGTTGATCCAAACCCGAACCTTAAGAATCCTGTGAGGAGGGTACACAAGGAAAAGCTTTTTTGAGTCATTTATTTTCGTTTTCAAATAAATGCATGCGAACTAGATATCATGCGG